AAGAAATGTCAATTTTAACTAGACATTTACCTAGATCTTTGTAGGTAAAGTGCTTGCTGGTAAATTTTTGTCTAGCTATTTTATAGGTAAACGGATTTAGCTAGAAATTTTTGGATTTAGCTAGAAATTTTTGTCTAGTTAAAATTGACATTTCTTGTAGTGGTATATATCTAAATGGCAACATTACTGCATCTTTTACATACTTGTTCCCTACCGTTTTTTCTATACAATTCCTCAAAAAACACATCCAACCAACAACGGTACTACAAATTCAAAACCAAAGGTTAACAAAGTATGAGAAAGGATATACCAACACATCAAAGGCCCTACCAATGTCCAAAAAAATCATAAAAACTTGACACCATGTTATACTGAGGTACTGAGATTCTAAACACAGACTCGTTATCTACATCAACCAAATCCAAAAAAAAATTGACACCATGTTTCAAGCATTTAAATTTTGAATAATTCAAAAGATGCAACCACAATACACAACATTTTTACAAGAAAAAAAAAAAACATTAACACCATCGTTGTAGCCTTATAAGTTCTACCTATGTGGCATTAATCCATCCTATTTAATGCTAAAATATTACATTGCACTTTTTTTTGTTAATTAAGACAAAAAAAGGTTACATTTTATATTAACTGCGTAATAATTATATTTTTTATTCAATCATATAATAGTAATTATTAGATTAATAATTATATTTACACTAAATGATATATGGAAGTTAAATAAGCATAAAAGATTATATGGTAAAAAAATTTTCTCAGGTTATTTATTCTAAAATCACTATTATATTTTTTTATCAGGTTAAATGGTTGTTTTTTAAATAAATTAATTTGTTTTAAGGTCATAGTAAAATTCCTTAATCGCATACGTACTTGTTATAATAAATTTAATATTTTTCAGCTAATCAATTGGTCAAGATCCCTTAAAATTACAAATATTACATTATTTATTACATTTTATGCAATCAATATAGTGATTCGTTTGCAATCAAATCATATGTATTATTTATTTTAAATAATGATCAAATTTTAAAACATAATACTATTATTTAACTTATAATTTTAATATTATATACATCAATATAACTTATCAAACTTTATGTTTCAAATAGAGTACCGTTATCAAACTTTATGTTTCTACATATAATTATTACTGCACGAAAAGTTTTTGTTAGTGTAGTGTATAAGAACATTTTCAATGATTCATGTGGTATAATTGTGATATTCAAAATGTCTAGAAAAGTTTTTATGGACATTAAAACTGAACATCTTATATTTTGTATTATATCCACCTTAGATGCGCTGAGCCTATGTGGCTGTTTTTGGTGCTTCAAAATCCTACTTGACAAAGAATCATGCTTCGTAATTAGGTTTGGACAAATAATATTGATATTGATATATTAATAATTAATAATTTAGGTTTGGACATTCCATAAATATTATTTAGCTAACTTAGGTATTTTAATATCACTTGTACTAATATAACCTTTTATTTATTTGTAATTTTACATATTGAGGAAATAAGTGACTAATATAACCCTGACTTTTGATTTATTTCCTTCAATCTATCTATATATAATAAGGATTAACTTGTTTCATTTTTAGTAAGAATTTCCCGCCAAAATAATTAATGACTTTCCAAAATAGAATTATCACACACATATTAAATACAAAATAAAAAAGAAACAAAAAAACAAAAACATTCATTGCTTAAGAAGGGGATCCATGAAAAAAGGGATTCTGTTTATATTAATTTTGTCAAAATTATTTTTTAAGGTAAACCATTATTTTTATGGTAACATATTTTTGTGGTACAAGAATTCTATATAAACATAAATCTCATTTAATTTGTATATTTCATTTTATCTTTATAAAATAAAGGTAAAATAAATCTCATATAAATCTAAAAAATACTATAGTAAAGTCATATTAGTGTATGGAGGATTATTAAAATTCACTTCATGAAGTCATTACTTTCTAAATCAAAGAAACAATTAATTCTCAAATTAAAAATTAATATTAACAAATAATTGGAATAAAAATGGTAGAAATTTTCTAGAAGCTAAAATATCAGGCAATTAAAGAAGGGACAAATAGGAGTTAATTACATAAGAAAATTTGACCATAAAATTTCACTCTCACATATACATAAAATGAAACTAGAATCCATCGTGAATGATACGTATCATCATATGTATAAATCAAAAATCCTTGACCATCTTTTATGGTCCATTTTATTTACATTTCAGCTATAGTTACAGTGATATTTTACCATATGATTTCAACAATTGAAATCCTCGAATTCTTGGAATAAAGTTCAACAGAAATTCATTCCAAGAACTATGAAATTTTTGAGAGAATAAAAAAAAAATTGCCAGCAAGAGAAGATCCCGAATATTATATTCTTTTTGTGTAATATCTCTATTTTCTTTTGCCTGTCCTCGGATTTTTCCAGTTTTTTTATATGGAATAAATTTTTCCTACATCATTTGTATATTTTATTTTATTTATTTAATATTGTTGTTTTATACTCTGATTTATATATTTTTGTTTTATGGATATATGTTTGTTTTATTTTACTTTGATGATAAGCATTTTTTTATTAATATTTATCATTTTCAACTACAAGGCATACAAACTAAATCAAAATTTTCAACGAACCTTTTTTTTTTATTGTATCACAATTTTATGGTGAAACATCTTTTTAGATATACACAAATCAAATTTTATTATTATTTTATTTTTTTATTCGTAATAAAATTTAATTCACACACGTTTCTCATATTAATTGTTTGTACTACAAGATGCTAGAATAAAATAAGATAAATATGAAATGCAATGTTTATGGAAAGCTGATTTACAAGTATTTTTATCCATAAATAAATCTCTTATTTGAACTTAATAATATTTTTTTTAATATTGTTATGCAATAGATACAATCTAAAACTCTTTTTAAACGTAACAAATATATTTTAAATATTACATTTTATATTTATTCCAAAGATTGGAATCGAATTGGCCATAAAATGAAACCACGAGTATAAAAAAAATAAACACAAAATCAATGAGAATGCTAAAATAAAAAAGATAAATATGAAATGCAATCTTTATAGAAATTTGATTTGCAAGTGTTTATATTCATAAAAATAATCTCTTACTTGAATGTAAGAACTTTTTTTGCATATTGTTATGCAAATACAATCAAATTTATTCCAAATATTGGAATCAATATGATGATTAAATGAGACTAAAAGAATATAAGAGATAAACATAAAATCCACTAATCATAGTAATAATTTGTTTAATAATACTGCCATAATATTCGGTTCTATTCAACTACAAATTATGCTAACTAAATTTGAGATTTTTAACGATCTTTTTCTTTACGATATCATAATTTTTGTGGTGAAAATCTTTTTTTATTTTGGTATCATCCGAATAAACAAAATATGTGATATTGCCACACCAAGAAATATTATCACTTCAATTTCATACCATATTTTTTGTTTTGACACGAATGTAAGACTTATAAACATCCAATCAAACTCATACGATAAAAACATCTTATACAAAAATATAAAACCCCATATTGTCAGGGTTAGTCTTTATCGCATATAGTTGTTCTTGAAGAAATCGTTTTTTAGTAACAGTCAATTATATGTTGTTGTTTCATGTGCAACTATTAGGAAGTGACTGAAAATATTAGTTTGTGGGGACGATGAGTTACTCAGTAATCAAACTAATAATGTTGTGTACAATGAGACTTTTAATAATGTATGACTTATTATTACCAACGAATAAATTATGATTACTTTACAAATGTCATACTAAATATAATTTATTTAGTAATAGATTTCAACTTATAATTATTTTTAAAAATAACTATAGCCCGTGCATCGCACGGGTTACATATTAGTTAACTATTGAATTATAAATGTATTTTAAAAATTGATAACTTTTGTATTTTTTTTATCAATTTTACATATATAATATTTCAAATTAGTCATCTTTTGATGATCTTCGATTTGCCATCCATATCGTATATATGAAATAAATAAATTATATTTATCTTTATAATAATAAAAAATAATAATATTTATTAAAATTCATTAGAAAAATAAAATTATTTCTCAATTGATATATTTATGTTTAATGAAGTTATATGTTGAGAGTTTAAAAAAATTATTATAATATAACACATGTAAGTTGCACAAATAAAAAATATCATACTAAATATATAATATATATATATATATTTAAAAGATATTTAAATTTCAACTATTTTTTTTCCTTAATTTTAGATTGTAAGAAAAAATTAGCAAGTAGCCGTGTAATTGTACTAATTTATTTATTAAACATATATCTTATCTCTAACCAATTATATATTACACGTGTGAAATTATACTAGAGTTGACATTATACACATCTACTCGACAATATACCATTCGAGATGCTCAATTTTTTTTTTTTTTTTTTTTTTTTT